CAATGGAAGAGTGACCCAACCTTGGCAGATAAAGCTGATCTTATTACATTTACAATGTGCTTTTAGACTTTGTCTGAGAGTAAGAGGGTTGTTATTTGTCAATATAGGAATGCCAACAACATTGTAGTGTTTTTTTGCTGTTAATAAATGAGTTTTGTTGTCTAACAAAAATTGTGGATTTTAAGTCCAGAATTTAATCCATAAGCCACACCAAGCCTTAGGCTGCTACAGAAATGAGGTCAGATTTCAAATTGGCTGCTTGTTCTAAGCAATTAAAAATGGTTTTTTGTCAAGACAGAGTATAAAGTGGAGTCATCAGCAAATAGAGTCACTTTAGATTTCATTATGATTGTTATTGTAGATAAAAAATATTAAAGGAGCAAATATCACACATCCCCATTGTAGTTTAGTCAAAATAAAGTTTTGTCAGTATATATTATACTTCCCTATCGGCACATCTAGTTTCTTTTTCGGAAATAAAACCTATAAAGGCACGTGTTTTTCACGATCCAGGCGTAAACCAAAAGCACGTGTATATTAAGGGCAGTTTTACTAGAGTTTAACACGTGATTTTTGAGGTTTTAAAGTCAAATTTAAAAATAGCATTTTTTTATCAGCGATTTCACATTCCTTACGGAAAGTTATTAAAATATAATACTACGTTTCCATAACGGTGAAACCATTATTACTTTAATTGGTATTTATGGTAAATAGTAATAGTTAATTTCACGGAATAAAAACCATTTAGGATACGTGTTATTCTTTTTGTTTTAGAAGTAAATATTTGTGTATTTGTCTTCCTAATATACCGTCATGTTCTTCTTATCATGCTTGTATAACCAATTATTGTTACTACAGAATAAAATAGTATCAATCATTGGTTATAAAAAGTTTAGTTTTTATCTCAATCATATCAAGTAATATGTATGCACTGAAACCAATAAATATTTATTATGTTTGAAAACTCTTGTCCAACTGTAGCTTTATCTATTTATCTATCATATAGCTGTATATTTATAAATCTATTTATCATATATCTATATATCATTGTATCTATATATCTATACATACACGAAAGTACATTAAATTTTTTTTTTTTTTTTAAAAACCGCAATATTTATGACTAGAAAGTTTTTTTTAATTAGTGATGTTTTTGTTTTTGTTTTATTAAAAAACATTTTTAAAACATGCGTAGGTGTTGCTATTTCGACTATCTTATAGCCTGCTGCTACAATGGAGTGTTGCTACATCGACTATCTTATAACCTGACTCGCAACGGAGTGCTGCTACATCGACTGACAAATAGCCTGACTCGCAAGGGAGTGCTGCTACATCGACTGAGGGTTTGGTTTAGGCAGGCAGTCTATCATTAAGAAAAAAAAAAAATTTTATTGAAAATTTTCAACATTTTCTGGTCATGCTTATTAACGCGCTCCTTAAAACAACAGTTTATGAGAAAAACTTTGTGACTATCATGCAAGTATATATATAACGTTTCCTAAACGTTCTTTAAAGGTCCTGCGTAATACTAAATTAAATTATAGGAAAAAACCTATTAAAACGTTTTTTGAACGTTTTTTAAACGTTTTACTTATACAAACGTCCTTCAAGCGACCATTAGAAGTGTACAAAACGTTTGAAAAATGTACTTGTGCATACTGGGTAGTCTGATATTGCTGAGTTTCTTGAATATGATCAATCATTTTTCAATACAATTTTTGCAAAAAAAGTGGTATACTTTATTATGATTAAATATTTAGTTTTCTTTATAAGGGTAAATTACTATCATAAATTACGATTACAAATTTTGATCTGTAATGAAATACATGTTGTACACTTTACACACACACATTATTATTATTATTATTGAATTGATTGTTCTATCGCTGAATTTCTTGAATGTGGTTAATAACTGCGATACAAATGTTTCAAAAAAGCTGGTATTTTTTTTTTTATGGTTAAAAATTTAGTTTTTTTTTTATAAGGGTAAATTACAATCATATATTACATAACAAATTTTACACACAACCACAATATTATCGAATCCATCAAAACACTAATGAATTATCCTATACCCAATATAACTTCCACTAAATTACCCCATATCACTTATACTAGTGTTATCTTTTTTAATTTAATAATATAAGTTATTAAATGTTGGTGGCTCATCATGCAGTGCAGTTGAGAAGGGCATTCTTTTAAAGTAGGAACAATTTTTCTATAAAAACCATAAAGTGTATTATAAATGTTCTCTTTATATCTCTTTTCCTTTTTATATTTTACATAATTGTTTTTACAACATTTTTTAGGTTTAAGACTGCTTACCTTATTTCTACAGGAAAAAAGAACTGAAAAAAGTTTGTTAGCAATATTCTAAAGCGCACCTGATTTAAAAGAAGGTGAATGACGTCAAGTGTTCAAACAATCCATTCTTGGAAATTAACAAGTGGATAAAGAAGTTTAAAAAAACTAAATTTATAAAACTTAGCACAAAAATATTATCAAAAAGTTTAAGCTAACTTTTATTTTTTATTCTCAAAAAATTCTGTGAAAACATAAATTTTAACCTTAGGTTTGAGTAAAATCATCTAAAAAAAACGAATTTTAGACGTCGAAATGAGGACGGTTAAATTAGGTTATTTAAAAACGTCATTTCTCATTTCGATTTAGCACTAGTTCTGAACGTTCTAAATTCACGTCTTTTAGACGTCTGAAAAATACGGCTTCATTCCGTCCTAAAAAGTCTTCCTAATTACATCCTATTACGTCTTTTGGCGTTGTTATTTAAAACCAGTTCCGGACGTCTTAAAAAGACGTCTTTTCGACGTTGTTTGGACGTTGCCGTGTTAACTGGGAAGTCAATTAAATTCACAAAAGTTTTTTTAAAAATATTAGAAAACCTTATCATAAGTTATTTAAACATTTTATTATACATATTTTTAAATATTGTTAAAGTTTGATAACAACTTAAAACATTATAAAACCTTTTAAAAGTGAAAATACTTACTACTATTAAACGCTTTACACATTTAAACTTGTATTACATAAATTTAAACTGCTATTGCATAAATAAAATTACTATGCATTCGCATTAATAAAAATCGTCTTAAGTCAATGATATACATTAAGAATAACAATGGTATAGCAAAAATATTCTTAATGTGATCATTTTAGTAAGCTTTTAAAGAAACTTGACAAACACAGAGTTGTTTGCAATCTTGTTTGTAAAAAACGTTAAAAATATAAACATATTTATTTCGATTAAAGATTAAAATGATGAATATGTAAAGCAAATAAAGTTTTTTAATCATAGTTTTTAAAAAACTTGTAATGAAAACAAAACCATTGAAACTTCAACCAATCTAAGCTGAAATTCAGATTTATTTTGCGACGCTATTATTACACTATGTGGAACTCATCTTCTATCTAAATCAATTTCAAGCTAAAATTCTATGCCAAACTCAGATATATCCCAGCTGGTATCCAGTTCTACTGTTAACTGTGCTTGTTATTGCAATTCTTACTGCGTTTAATAAACCAATTTTTTTTGAATGCATATGATAAAATTTGATATTTATCCTTAGCTTTATCTTTTCCAGCAGAATTTTGAGATGAAAAACGTGTTAAATATTTTCAAACCCTTAAACACCTGTTTCATAAACGGAAGATCTAAATCTCCATTCCTTCATTTTTGTGTCATTTAGATTGAGCTAAATAAGCAAAATTGTTAACATTATTTTGACTTTTTTTGAAACTATTTTCCCAAGTAACTTTTTCAACACCGCTGACAACTGACTTGTATGAAAATGGAATATATGAGTATCACTCACTGCTTGGTATTCTAGTATTGACATTTCCTTTAACCATTCGACAGTTATAATATGCTCCATCTAACTGAAATCGGAACTTGAAAACTTGTTGAATTTTGGACAATATAAAACTTGCATCGGTTTAAAGTGTTGTTTTTGTGTATTAGATAAGTTCACTGGTTACAAAAATATTGTTGTTTGTGAATTTCAAAACATGTTTTACACTTTTATGACAAATCATAGCCGCTTTCCCATTATCACCGCAGATTGCAAAATAACCATTTTTTTTGCAAACTCAAACATGAAAATTAAAGGTTTTACCCGTTGATATTGCTTAGTGACTACAAAATAACCATCGATCAGTTTTAGCGCGAATAATAAGGATCTGGCAAATGCTAAATTGAAGTTTTCTGCTTTCAAAAATAGTATTGCGTATTTGATTTAAATGCCATTTTTTATTTTTTTAATTTAATTTTTTCTCTCAAATATCAGCAAAAGCAGCTTTTTCATTTTACAACCCTGACAAGGTTAAAAAAAATTTTACAACTCTCTTTTAAACTACTATTAAAACAAAAACAGATCGGAATTTAACATTGCAATGATTTTAAAGTATACCAATAAAGGGTATTTTTATGTTATTGTTTTTATTGTTGAAATAATCTTATTAATTTTAATTTTTATTCTAATTGTCAAATAAATAATGTGATCTGATTTACACGTCTGAATTGCAGGTTTTTGGCTATTTAAAAACCGACTATTTAAAACCAGGCTATTTAAAAACTGCTAAATTAAAGACAGGTTGTTTAAAAATAGGTTATTTGAAAGCAGAATAATTAAAATAAATTTTATTTTGATCGCTGTGTATAATCTTTTTAGTTTTTTTTAGTTTACGTTTTTCAATCGGAGATATCAAAGAGTTACTATTTAATACGCAATGTTTAATGGAACCCCCTAGATAAAAAAACCCAATTATTTGTCTTGGGGTATTTTCTTATTATTATCATTAGTTGTTTTTTTTTTTAATTCATTTGAATATTATTATTAACTTAAATATGATATTTTATAGAAAAAAAAATTTTAAATATCATCCATAAGTTTCACTTTCTCTAACAGTTTCGGTTTCACTAAACTCTTAAAGAAATTTTTAAACTAAATAAATTTGTTGTAAACAACAGCTAAGTATATAAAACTAAAGCTTATATTTACTTTTGCCTGAAAATACAAACAGAAACATTTTAGACTGAATGAAAATGCAAACCATTTATATGTAAGTTAATGTTTAACCAGTTATTAGTAAGCTAATTTTTAAGTTTTTATAATTTTACAAAAAGCAAATGAAATTTTACTTTACTTTATTTCTAATTTATTTGCTTCATCGTAAGCAAGCTTATGCCAATCATTACCGTGGAGTAGTATCAACCAGTGAGTGGCTTGATAATGATTTTTTTTATTTTAAAGCGCAGTTTTACTATCGTCTAAAAGATAATGGCGCTGGTGGTTTTATAGCGTGTAATGATAAAATGATAGAAAATAAAGAGCGTACAAGTGACACTAGTGACGTGTCATTAACCATATCCAAGTGCAATCAATTTGCAATATGTGGTGTGCCGTTGTTTTATCTTGAAAATAGCTTCATTTGTAATAGTTATAGTAATGAAGAAGACTGGGCAATTGTTGACAAATTCGAAAAAAGTGACATCAAAAGTTATAATATTTTAGAGGGTGATTCCTTAGTCGCTAAATTATATACTAAAATTGGGGAGTGGTCGGATATTTCTATTAGTTATGCGTGGAGTCATTTTAGCCGTAAAGTGAAAAATAAAAATGGTAGATGGAACCATCCACCTAATACAAAGACGTTTCCAAAGTATAATCTAATAAAAGGCTGTGAGACAAAACTCAAAATTCCAATTGATGACGTTGATGGTGATACTATTAGGTGTAGACCGTCGTTGAGAAGTGCTGGAGAATGTGTACTCTGTGATTTTAGTCCTGCTTTTTTAGAACAAGAAACTTGCACGATAATTTTTCCTGAAAATGTGACAAAGAACTTGATAATTGAAATACAAATTGAGGATTTTTTGAACCAAAGTGACATAAAACCAATGAGTAGTGTTCCACTGCAGTTTATGACAACACTTACAACAAGAGATAATCAAAATTGCGATGGTTACCCTATATTCATGCCAATGGTGCCACCTCATGACTCTTGCATCGCAATATCAGAAAAAACTCACTACACCAATCGTTTTGAATTCAATTCAACATCAAACATTACTGATGTGTTTTTAAATACGTTTGAGGATTTTAAAAAAGGTAGCTTAACCTACGACCCTTATTCTAGACTATGGTTTTACAACTATACTATAAATACCCTTAGTTCTAATGTCAAACAAGAATCGCTTACCGTCTACGCAAAAAATGTTAAAGGCTATTCATCAGAACTTCGTAAACTGCAATACGTGCTAAACTATGAACCACCAAGTATTATAAGTGTTTCTCCACAAGGCGACTTATGTCAGATAACCACCGGCACTTACAACTGGAAGTTTATAACAAATCGAAATGTGTCATCCCCTAAGAAATCAAGCTATATTAATTTTATGCGCCATGTAAATAACAATTCATTAACGCTTGCCTATAGGTTTAACATGTTAACTCTTAATAAAGAAAACTTTGACAGTTTTATCGTCGCTGTTCCTGTTTCAGCTTTGAATTTAAATGAAAATTTTAGCATTTTAATTGAATTTGGTGCCATAATAACTTTAGATTATTGCAAGCCACAATCAGTTGCTGTTGAAGATTTAAAAAAATATCAGTTCAGAATTATTGGTGACTTATCTAATGAAATTGAGTTTGTTAAACTGCCCCCTCAATACACAAATGGTTTAGTACTCAAATTAGAATGGAAGTTTCTAAGTAATGGCAAAAAGGTTGAATGCCTAATCGAGTATGAAAAAACGGGATTTTTTTCAGTAGCTTGCAACGAAACCAGTCTTAAGTTACTTAATCAGCCTTCTGGTCAGTACAACTTCCAGATTAGATACTCAACTAAATGTTCTCCGTCACTAACAAGTATGCAAACAAACTGGATTGTGGTTAATGATAAGCCGTTACTTGAAGTTACAACATTGAGCCTTATAAACGGTCATGCTTCAAATAGTTTTACAGTATTCATTAATTGTACTCACATTCTGCCTTGCAATATACTATGCAGATTTTCAACAAAAGCGGAAATTGATTTTAAAAAATTTGAGAACTGTTTTTCAGTATTCAAGCCAAAAAATCAACTAATCCATTTGGAATACTACGTATTTGAAGTGTTTGCAAAGGATGAGGTTGAAAATAAAGCAAACACTATTAAAATAGAGTTTGTTGCTGATACTAAACCACCATATTTTATAAATGCAACTGTAGAATTGGAGCTTTATTGTGAAAGTTTACACTCGAATGCTAAACTATTTGTTGCAGATGATACAGATTATAATCCATCATTACATTATACTGATGTTTATAATACCGCGTGTTTGCTAAATAGGATTTGGACAACCAAAGATTACTTAAACAACACTGCAACATTAACTCAAAAAATAAAGATAGTCTCACACGCTACATTGAGTTATACAGACACAATATCTATTCCTTGTATAACAAACCAGCAAGTTTTACAAGATTTGAAATTTTATAAAGGTTTTATAACCTTAGAGAACAATTTTTGTAATCAAACGCTAGATATAACACCAGCCATTTCAAGCTTTCCATCGGATGACTGTGATTTTATATTTAATGTACGTTGGATAGTTAGAGATACTTGCCTAATAAGCTATCCAAATGTTATTCAAAAGGTTTTTGTTGGTGTTAGAGAAACACCCTATTCTCCCCTTCACATGCAAAAAGATATAAGGCCTTATGGTATTTTCTTTAAATGGCCTTTGGACCGTAGCTCAGGGCTAAACGAAGTTTACTTAAGAAGTTATAAGCAAGAAAAATCTACCTTAATTGCGTCTATAATTTCTAACTATTTGATTTATCAGCCTAGATTAGATGAAGACACAGATTACTACTGGAATGTAATTTATTATAATTCTAAAAATGCTTCTCTAAAACGTTTAAGTCCGTTTTGGGAATTTAAAACTAAATTTTTAGGAAATTTAGCATTAGATACAGTTAGAACACCAAACGAGGTTATTGTTGGTAATAAAATTCAAGTAACCTGGACTGTGAAAAATGTTGGAAATGCTACAACATCTTCATCATTATGGTACGATGGTGTTTACGGGTCATCATTAGATGAGTTTAATACAGCAAAACTTATCGGTTATGTTTTACAAAACCGTTTTGTTGAACCTAATGGTCAATACACAGCCCACCATAGCTTCGAGATAGATGAAAGATATAGTTCAAAATACTTTTACGTGTTTGTTACAATTGATTACACGAACCTTCTTGAGGATTCAGAGAATTCAAATAACTTTTTAAGACTTCCAAACTCAGTCAAAATTCTTCAAGTACCACTTCCAAACCTGACACCAAAACAAATAATTTTGAATCCAGATGTGGCTAAAGCTGGCGAAGATATTGAAATTAAAATTAAAGTTGAAAACAACGGTGATGGTGATACAAAGTTGAACAGTGGTTGGACGGACTCAATTAATATTAATCTGATAAACGCTGAAAATGTTTACTCAGCTACTATAAAAATGGCTGGCGTAGTTAAAAAGAAATACACTTACACAATTATAAAGAGCATCAAATTACCAATGATATACTATGGTAATGCTGTGATAACATGTCAATTAAATATACAAGACACACTTTATGAGGTGTCTTTAAGCGATAATTTAATTAGTCGAAATTTAACAATAATTCCACCAGATACCCCACACTTAATCTTTGAATCATATACAAAAAATTTGACAGCTAAAACAGATGAGAGAGTTGTAGTGGAATATTCAGTCAGAAATGATGGTATTGCTAGTACAGTTGAGTATAAATGGACAGATTTTTTAAGAATTGTATCTGCAAGTACAAACGAAGTACTTTTGTCCAAACAGTTAGATATTTATGGTACGCTTTTAACTTAGTTATAAATTGGTATTAAGCATTTCATAAATTGGTACTAGGCATATATGTATATATATATATATATATATATATATATATATATATATATATATATATATATATATATATATATATATATATATATATATATATATATATATATATATATATATATAATATATATATATATATTTATATATATATATATATATATATATATATATATATATATATATATATATATATATATATATATATATATATATATATATATATATATATACATATATGTTTAATACCATAATTCATTATTTTTCCAAAATAAATAAAATTATTTCAAAAATCTTCAATTAAAGCGCTGTTTAAATTATGGCAACTCTCGCCTGTATTAATTATCTTCACTTGTAATTGTTTGTATTATTTTATTTTAGCTAATTGAACGCTTAAAGGAGAAATTGAGCTCCAGCTTGGGCCAAAGTTTTAAAAAAAATTTAGCAACTCAAAAAAGTTACTTAAAAAGGGAAAATGATGCATTACCATAACATAGTGAAAATGTAAACGCTTATTTAAAGGCTTTTAACATATACTAAAACACATAAATAACTAAAAAAAGAGCTTAGAATCATGATATCAGTTCACTATCTTGAGATTATCACAAATATTTAATTTTGATAATAAAAAATTTTTTGCCGAAAAAATAAGATATAATACACACTCTACTTAGTGTGTGTATTATATCTTTCAACAAGGTCCGTAAACAGACATTATTTTAGGAGAGTGAGAAATATTTTACTGCGGCCAAAGACTTTGTTAAAAAAAGTTTAAAGGTCAGTTTTTAAAAATATTATAATTAAAGACAAAAAATCCCACAATTTTTAATTAAATGTATATGATGAAAAATAAATAAGAAACAAACATTTTGTCTCAATACTTAGTATTTAATTAATTACAACAATCTTTCAAATTCGAATCTTTTTTGATGTTTTGCAAACATTTTAACGGCCACATCTAAATTTAAGTTATAACCATAGTAAATGTGCATTAAAGCGATCTAAGAAATTGGTTCCTGTCTTTGTATTGCTCTTGTGTACGAATAAAAGCGTCAAACTGCACTTCCATACATATATATATATATATATATATATATATATATATATATATATATATATATATATATATATATATATATATATATATATATATATATATATATATATATATATATATATATATATATTAGCAGCACTTGAGGGCCGATTATCTGGTTGACATGTAAGCTACATTTTTTGCGACATAATTATTTATTCACCAAAGAAATTAGACTTAGAGAGGTCACTTTCATAATGTATTGTAGCTTTTGTATCCTGTCAGATACTGGTATTAAATTTGATTTTTTGGCGAGAATCGATGTATGCTTATATAGTCGTTCGGCAAACATATTTACGTCTATTTTCATGTTTACTTTTTTTGAGATGTTTAAACAATTTTAACACACTTAAAGGCATAACGTTTTTCATGCATCTTACTTTAGACTTACAAAAAGACCGTATAGTTTGCTGTTGTTTAACTACCCAGACAGTCTCCGACTAGCGGCTCAATGCTGGCCCAGTTTTGCCTGCGACTACGGCGTGATGACGGCTGTCGATCACTGGCCTGCATCAAAACGACCAATGGGCCAGCATTGACCCACTAGCCATGGGCCAGCATTGGCCCGCAATTGTTTGTCTGCACTAGCTCATTATCTGTTACAAGTACTGATCCGTAATCATTTTCTAACACTCGTTCGTGGTCACGTGTCAGGACTAAGACGTTACTTTTTTCTAACTCGTACTAAGTATTTTCAAAATTTATTGCTAACCGAAAATGTGAAAAAAAATAATAAAGTTATAAATAAAAAAAAAATAAAAATAAAAAAAAAAAATAATGAAATTATAAATAAAAACAAAAAATGTTGTTCAAACTGCAACTTGTGCGAAGAACTTTTTATACCAAGAACGTTCCTGTTGAGCTTTTCATCCGCTATTTTGATCCCCGGAAAGCTAAAACAATCTTTTCAGTTAATGTTCAAACTCTTCTCCTGATGCTCCTAAGGTTACAGCTTTCAAGTTCACAGCATCTAAATAACACAAAGTTAAGCTATAATGTGTCGCAACATTGTATATGTTACATATATATATATATATATATATATATATATATATATATATATATATATATATATTATATATATATATATATATATATATATACAATAGTAAATGATTTAACTAAAACGTAAGACAAAAATATACATTACACACACATATATAAACGTTAGGGTAAATAAAAAACATTTTTTCATAATACTCCGCACTTCAACCCTATTCTACAAATTAAAATAACACTAGATATAAAAAATAAAAGAAAACATTTCATAAGACCCTTAAACATAAGACGAGTTTATAATAATATCGAAATTTTTTTTTTTTTTTCAAATTATGTCAACCAGGTACTAAAAACATGCGAAAACAAAACAAAAACTTCAAAAATAAAAACAACTTTACATAAAAAACGTTTAAAAATAATTATCTTTAAGAAACTAAACATTGAACTTTTTTTTTAGTCAAAAAGCTATAGCTTTAATTGAAATAATAATTTTTATAAAAATTGATTACTACTTTTGAAACTTTAACATTGCATCTTACGAGATTTAATATTGCATCTTACGAGAACAAGTATCAAAATTTTTATCTAGTGTTATTTTACTATAAAGAAAGGAATTAGGGCTGTGAATCAGACTATTTGTGAAGCTGCTTTTTCAATCGCCCTAGTATACATATATACAAATATTATATATAGAATTAAAATTCTTCTTAGCTAATAATTTTAATAACATTGCTTTCAAAGCAATATTGTTTGCTCCTGAAAAATCAATTATCTTCTCAATATTGGTGCCGATCACCATTAGAACTATATTCCAAAGAACCTTCTTAATTTTTGAATCACCTTTGGATGCTAAATGCTGCTCTTTAAGTAGACATTATACATTATAACCATCATTGCTTTCAGATTTAATAGAAAAGTAGAAGAACTAAACAATCTTAAGTTTATTTAATTTTATTGATAGTAAAATACATATTTTATTTTACATATATATATATGTATATATATATATATATATATATATATATATATATATATATATATATATATATATATTTATATATATATATATATATATATATATATATATATATATATATATATATATATATATATATATATATATATATATATATATATATATATAGATATATATATATATATATATATATATGCATATATATATATATATATGCATATATATATATGCATATATATATATATATATATATATATAAATATATATATATATATATATATATATATATATATATATATATATATATATATATATATATATATATATATGTATATATATAATTCTGCAGTTTATATATATATAACTCTGCAGTAAAAATATATATATATATATTATATATATATATATATATATATATATATATATATATATATATATATATATATATATATATATATATATATATTTATACTGCAGAGTTATATATATACATATTTAAATATGTATATAAATATATATATATATATATATATATATATATATATATATATATATATATATATTTATATATATATATATATATATATATATCTATATATATATATATATACATATATATATATATATATATATATATATATATATATATATATATATATATATATATATATATATATATATATATATATATATATATATATATATATACATATATATATATATATATATATATATATATATATATATATATATATATATATATATATATATATATATAAATTAACTTGAAAACAAAAAATGTTATATAGCAGTAATGTGAACAAAGAACAATTTTTATTTTAAAGTGAAACCACGCACAGAACAGATAAACTAAAATTTTAGATACTAAATATATAAACTTTAATTCCTCGTAAAATGTAAGTTTTAACGGTAAAGGAGATCATAAATGATCACGCACGGAAGTCACGTACGGAGGTTGTGAATTTATCAATTCATCTAGTTATTTTTATAAAAATAAATTGCTTGTGAGTATTTTAGGTGGAATATTATTTTTCTATGACTCATTTTAAATATATTTTCGATAAGAAATGGCAGTAATCAATTAAGCTGGTGAGAATTATATTGATGTAAGTCGAGAAAAATAATTGAGTTAAGCCAATATTTATGATTACAAAGCATCATCAATGATAATTCATCGTGTTAAATTTGAGACTAGTGTTCGGTGTAAATTTATGTAAAGAAACTGGAAAGTATTTTTTTTAGTTTTTAAGGTTTACTCTACGCTAAATCTTACAAATCTTTAAATATCTCAAATTGAGGAAACGTTAATTTACACCATTCTAATTCTTACAGACTCAATTATTTCTATCTATTGTATAGCTTTTTGAAAATTATTGGGGATTTTGGGGTTGTACACATGATAACAAACCTGCCATTGATGCTGCATCATCTTATTCTATTATCTTATTAATATTAAAAATAAGGTCACCTAGAGTTTGCATAAATTCATTAAAATCATATTTGGCTCACATTTCAACTTTAAACATTTTCAATTCAACATTTGGCACACATTTCAACTTTAAAAAAGGCCGAAAACTCCCATTAATATAGGCAGTGAAAGAAATTTACCAACATTTCCAAGTTTATCTACATTTTCAAGCGTACCACACAGATTATACATTATTTTCACTATAAAGAACAGCACTCATTATAAATTTCAAAGTTCGTGATTTAAAAGTTCGTAAATTACAGTAAAAGTTCAAATAAGTATTCAACTGTATATAAATGTATACAATACTATATATATACATATATATATATATATATATATATATATATATATATATATATATATATATAATATATATATATATATATATAT